ATAGCTCGGGGAAATTTCGCTGGGAGGGAGCGAGACCGGATGCTGGACGGGATGAAGCCGTGGAAATAGCTTGGGGGAACTTCGCTGGGAGGGAGCGAGACCGGATGCTGGACGGGACAAAACCGTGGAAAATAGCTTGGGGAAACTTCGCTGGGAGGGAGCGAGACCGGATGCTGGACGGGATGAAGCCGTGGAAATAGCTTGGGGAAATAGCTTGGGGAAACTTCGCTGGGAGGGAGCGAGACCGGATGCTCGACGGGATGAAGCCGTGGAAATAGCTTGGGGCAATTTCGCTGGGACGGAGCGAGACCGGATGCTGGACGGGATGAAGCCGTGGAAATAGCTTGGGGAAACTTCGCTGGGAGGGAGCGAGACCGGATGCTCGACGGGATGAAGCCGTGGAAATAGCTTGGGGAAACTGCGCTGGGAGGGAGCGAGGCCGGATGCTGGACGGGATGAAGCCGTGGAAATAGCTTGGGGAAATTGCGCTGGGAGGGAGCGAGACCGGATGCTGGACGGGACAAAACCGTGGAAATAGCGTGGGGAAACCTCGCTGGGAGGGAGCGAGACTGGATGCTGGACGGGATGAAGCCGTGGAAATAGCTTGGGGAAACTTCGCTGGGAGGGAGCGAGACCGGATGCTGGACGGGATGAAGCCGTGGAAATAGCTTGAGGAAACTTCGCTGGGAGGGAGCAAGACCGGATGCTGGACGGGATGAAGCCGTGGAAATAGCTTGGGGAACTTCGCTGGGAGGGAGCGAGACCGGATGCTGGACGGGATGAAGTCGTGGAAATAGCTTGGGGAAACTTCGCTGGGAGGGAGCGAGACAGTATGCTGGACGGGAAAACGTGGAAAATAGCTTGGGGAAACTTCGCTGGGAGGGAGCGAGACCGGATGCTAGACGGGATGAAGCCGTGGAAATAGCTTGGGGAAACTGCGCTGGGAGGGAGCGAGACCGGATGCTGGACGGGATGAAGCCGTGGAAATAGCTTGGGGAAACTTCGCTGTGGGAGGGAGCGAGACCGGATGCTGGACGGGATGAAGCCGTGGAAATAGCTTGGGGAAACTTTGCTGGGAGGGAGCGAGACAGCACGCTGGACGGAGAGGAAACCGTGCAAATATAGCTTGCGGAGAGCTTCGCTGGGAGGGAGCGAGACAGCATGCTGGACGGGACACAAAACAGTGGCAATAGCTTGCATTGAGCTTCGCTGGGAAGGAGCGCGACAGCATGCTGGACGGAGAGGAAATAACGTGCAAATAGCGTGTGGAGAGCTTCGCTGGCAGGGAGCGAGACATGCTGGACGGACAGGAAACGTTGGAAATAGCTTGCGGGAGAGCTTTGCCGGGAGGAAGCGAGCCAGCATGCGGGACGGAGAGGGAACAGTGCAAATAGCTTGCGGAAAGCTTCGCCGGGAGGGAGCGAGACAGCATGCTGGACGGAGGGGAAACCGTGGAAATAGTTTGGGGAGAGCTTTGCTGGGAGGAAAGCGTGGAAATAGCTTGGGGAGATCTTCGGTGGGAGGGACCGAGACAGCACGGCTTTTGCACACAGAATCTTGTACACACAGACGCGTTCACACACAGGAGGTTTTATACAAACAGAAGACTTTACGGCGCACAGAACTTTTATATACATAGAGCAGCTTTTACGCAGCGAAGCTTGTACACACAGGACAAAGGGGAGCTTTTTTACACAGAAGCTTTTACATAGGGTTTTTTAATACACAGAAGCTTTTACACACAAACACCTTTACACACAGAAGCTTTACACACAGAAACTTTTACACACAGAAACTTGTACACACAGAAGCTTTTACACAAGCCTTTACACAATGGAGCTTTTACACACAGACAGGTTTACACAGAGGAGTCTTTACGCACGGAGGCGTTTACACAGGAAAACTTTTTCACACAGAAGCGTTTACACAGAGTAGTTTTTACGCAGAGAAATCTTTACACAAAGAATCTTGACACAGAGAAGCTTGCACACACACACAGAGGCTTTTACACAGAGAAGCCTTTTACACAGAGCAGCTTTTTCACCGAGGAGCTTTTACCCAGAGGAACTTTTACACAGAGAAGCTTGTACACTCAGAGGCTTTGACACAGAGAAGTCTTTTACACAGAGAAGCTTTTGCACACAGAAGTTTTACACAAACAAAATCTTAACACAGAGGAGCTTTTACATACAGAAGCATTTATGCAAAGAATCTTTTGTACAGAGAAGTCTTTACCCATTTTTCATCATGTCTCATTTTTCACTATCATTCACCACCTATCAACTTCATATCTTCGTTTTCATGCTCTTTTGGTCAGCTCCCTCCGTCGTTTAGTTTTCATTTTGCACGGTGTTCTGTCCGTCGACGCTTCGTCCTCGCTCCCTCTGCGGCGAAGCAAACTAAACGAGAACGCAGGAATTATAGCGGCTAAAAAGATGGGATAGAGTTAATTACATTAGCAGAAATAGCGACTAGAAGAATGTAGACGTAGCTGACACAGCATGCTGTGGTGAATTGCGGCCCCTGATACCATCAGCGCGCACGATGTTTCAGTAAAGATCTTACGTCGATTTCGTGCAGAGCACACACCACAAGATTTTCAAAAAAATCGTGCTGTGTGCCGTCTTGCTTTTGGGTTCTCTGGCCCACCTTGTTTGATTTTCTTGCAGGGCTTGAAGTCCCCTACTTTGAAATCATTTGAGTCGTTTCGGAAAGAGGCTGATTTTCTTGGAAATGCATCGCTTTTCCCCGGCCAGCAACCTAGATTCCAACCATGGAAAAAAAACTCTTGCTCGCAGCCAGCAGACTCCTTCTGGGCTTCGAATCTAGCTGGCTCACCTTGCATTCTTGACACAGGTGGTACACAATTGCTGCTTAACACAGAAAGTTCTGGGAGAATAATGTGCGTACTAGAGTATCTATGTATGTATGAATAAACAAACTGCAGATAGATTGATAGATGGATAGATGATGACAGATGAAACCATATTATGATCCGCGGGCGAACATGGCACAACTGGCAGAAAAACGCATGCGTCTCGCATGTATCTGATGGATACATATCTTTACAAATACAATCCAAACATATCCTAACTATTCCTAACTACTGTACACAATGCCGTTATGACTGAGAAGGGAATGCAGTGGCATTCCCGAAAAAAAAAAACAACTCCAATTCCATTGCAGTGTTGTTCAATCAGTTCTGTAGACTACACAGGAGCGGCACAAGCGTATCGGATCGAGAAATTGACGACGAGGCTGGGAAAAGCTATACCCAATCCATCGAGGCTTTGCAAAGGGCCTAGTGTAGCCTGCAACTCGTGGTAGATTGGGATGGCAAGGTTCACCTTCAAAACGGCACCGCATCAATTTGACACTTCGCTGACTCTGCGGGCTGTTTCAATCCTAGTTTTTGATGTGCGAAGGGGGGATTCCAACAATGCTACCACGGCGAAACAACCAGCAAAAACCATCAGCGAGCCAAAACAAGCTTGAAAAAAAAACACGTGCTGCTTCTGGATCACCCATCGCAATGAAAACTTGCTATTACCGCTACCTTATGATGCGTATTGAAAGTACATGAAAGTGCACCATGGCGATTCTGCTGACCAATGGAAGAATTGCAATTTTCAGCTGCACAGTTGTATCAGCATGATTCGGCTTATAATTATAATTATAGTGGAATAAGCTCCTGCCATCTCCTGCCTTCCCAGCTGCTTGAAGCTGTCGCGCATGGACAAAGCGCATGTGCGACAACTGCCAGCCCTTGGAGACAATGCGCTGGTGAAGCGCCTGCAGATTCTGCTCGCTGCTCTGGGGATGGCTGGGGATGGTTGCCAGGCTCATTCCAAAGCTACAGCGATACCGGCGATACCATACCACACCACAGACCACAGCACTCCAATATACTCCAAGTCTATCCAAATCTGTAGAAGACCCGAATCTTTAAGAAATTTTACCCATCTTTAACCATTCTTTAGCCATCTGCATCTAGGATTCCATCATATTCCATCCACAAGCTCGCATCTTGAATCATGTTGCTACCTTTGTTGGCACTTCTCTGCGCTTGCAGGGTGGTCCTGTTTGTTTTTGTTGGTGTTGCGATGTGTTGCAACGCAAACAGCACTCTGCCGACTCTGCCACGTTCTGCCACACCTCGAAGAAGACTTCTGCCTGTGCAGCACTCTGACGCAAGGCTGCGTCGCCCAGCAGCGGGTCCAAACAGCTGCGGCCACAGCGCGGTGCAGCGGCGTAGCTGGGTGGGTCTTGGAGGGATGCTAGAGCCGCTAGGGCAAACCTCAGGCGGTAGCATCGCTAGGGCTAACAGAGGGGACTTTGTGGACTTTGCCTTTCGATTTTCGAGGTAGCAGTGCTATGATGTGCTATGCATCCGACTAGTCATGCTTTAGCATCATGCTTTGGGCTAGAAACTGTATCGCACGAGGTGTTCGGCTGTAAAGCTGAATGATCTCCTTCATCAAAGGCTCTTTCTGATGCCTCAGTGGCATTTCCGCTGAGAAGGTTGATGGACACAGCTGTGCACAGCTCATATGCACACCTACAAGTAGGTGGAACAGGCACCAGCGCAAGAAAATCTTCTGTGTTGCACCTCATTGAAGAAAACATGTGCTGTATATTATTATATATTGTATTACTGTATCATTGTCATTGGTCATTACCAGAGCATACCAGAGCCATGTTGTCGGCGTCACGACTGACCCATGCTCTGACACATGCTGGTCAAACTATAGGTGGTGGAGGTGTCCCTGGAAGGGCTTGGAAAGTCAACTTCTCACACCTTGATAAGGCTTGCCAGCAGTCCATCTCCAAGTCAACAAACAGCTTTAGATCGATTTGCAGCTTGGCAGCGCACAAAGGACATTGAAGGTCAGCTGGCTAAAGCGATATAGGTCCGTGAGCCAGTCACCTCAAGGTCATCACCAGATTTCAGCATACTTCAAATCAGTCAGCTGACATGATCATCATGGTCTCCCATGGTTTTCCCTCTGTAGTTGAACCTTTGGTGACGTTTCATGTTCTATTTTGAAGGGCCATTATGCACGGCATGACATGTTTGCACTCCAAGATGGACAGCAGGTACCTTTGACGCCTGTCGTCAGTAGAGTCTCCCGTTGACCATCTCCCTCCAGCCTGTGAGAGGCACAAGCATCTCTGGCGCCATCATGAAGCAAACCTTAGCGAGATCTGAAACTACTCAGCGTGCATTACCCTATCCCAGCCCTACTTGTTCCTCCCGGCACACCCAAAAGATGCCCAACGCATGCCCATCTTGGTTGCCCAACATACTTCATACTTGCAAAGTACCTGACAGCCGCCTCCATCTGCCCGTGGCTCTCCGTGGTTGGACACGAGAAAAACATGGCACAGGCCTGAACGGTGTGTCATGGCTGTTCCCTTGCATGTCTGGTCAGACCCTGAGAAATACTTGAATGGATAGCTGTGATCCGGAGGCTCAAAATTGAACCAGCCTTACCTACTCAAAGGATCTCAAAGGAAGCAACTGACAGGTGGTTGCAAATGCCAATTGATACATCGATGTATACGAGGGTAACACGAGCATCACGAGATATCACGAGTTCGTCGCACAAAATCGCACAAAGAGATCGTCAGTTGCACCAGGCTGTACCCGGCACTGTACCCGTACTCGCCGTATCTCGCCGTACTTTCGTAACCTGTACATACCTGATCATACCTGTACCCTGTTGATCCCTTTTGTGCCTCGAAAATCACAAAGCGAATTCGCCGTGATTCCAGGAGGCCGGATGCCTACGCTCGATGCTGCAAGGGATCAACACGACCGACAAATTCTGTTGACGCAAATGACGCAAGACAATGCAAGATGATGCAATATGCAAGCGGTTGATGAACGTGTTGGCTGTGGGGTTGGAGGAGCTGTGCCTGGAAATGCCTCAAACGTGCGAACGTATAGGAATGTGCGGCAATGTGGGGTCCGCTTGCCAAAACGTTGCCCGCTTTGGATGAGATACGATTCAAACGTCAAGGAAACAAGATTCCACATTCTGGTACTGTAAATTCTGGTAACACGATATGGACCAGAAAATGCTCATCTATGATTATCATTGACTCTATCTCAATGACATTCAATGATACACATGCGAGATCATGCTACATTCATCTTCAGCTATATATCTTCAGCTGAAATGAAGCAGCATGGTTCCCTCGTGATCCAATCTGCCACCCATGGCCCCTCTAACCAGCCCAGCGGCTCCCAAAATGACGTTGTAGTCATAGCCTTCAGCATCGACTTTCAGAACATCTACCTGGAAAAACAGGTGCAAAATGTCGTGGTGCTATTAAACTGGTTTTCACGTGTTTTCACTGCTGAACATCTGCTTGAGTTTGCGCTGGGGACAACTGATGTTTCTTGTGGTGGCTGACCAATTGTCACTCCTCAGATTGGAGGCCGACCAAACAGTGCGTGCACTTGAGGCATTTGTGCAAGTTATTTTTCAGGCGGAATATGTCCTCATTGCCAAAGTTATGATAACAGTTATGAACGACGTATGCAGCCTGTGCCATGGACATTGGATCCAAATTCATCAACTAATTAGCTTCTTACAGATCTTACAGGGTGTTTCTAACACGCGAAGGTCCATGCGTATCGCCGAAATCAAGGCGACATATCTGTGACGTATCCGACATGATCCGACACACACAAGATCCCATGGTCCCATGATGTCCCATGGCCTCGTGGATGCCCAAGTCTTTAGTGAACTCGTCCAGCCGGACGGTCTTCACCTGAACCCAGAGAAATATCGGGGAAACCATGGGAAACCTCTACTCCGAAGAACGCATGTTTTCTTGGCAGTTTTTTTGAAAACATCGACTTAAACAGATTCACATGAAACATCATTAACCCATGACATTAAACCAATCCGCAACTAAGTCCACAGAATTCTTTGCCCGGAGCCAGTTCATACAGCGGACTCAAACCAAACAGTTTCCCCCGCTTTCCTCTCAGCAAATGGCGGTGACCGGGCTAGACGCTGCTTGCGACCACGTGGCCACAACAGGCTCTCCGCATGGTACCGCAGACACGACATTTGCCTAGCTTCCCCGCTGCCATTGGAAGGAATCCCAAGTCACTAAGGACCAAACTATAGCCAGTTCAATGATGTTGTGCAAACACACAAAATACATCAAAATACATCAGTATGCTGCAATATGCTGCATCAAGCAAGCACGTGGCTATCATTAACGATCCATTTTCCATATTATCATTAGTGAGTGCTGGTGAGTGCATGTGAGTCAGGCAGCCTTCTCCTGTGACTGCATCAAGTTGCAAAATCATGGATTGTTAGCACGCAAACACACCCTCACACATTCACACAGCTGCAACCTACCCCAAATCTGAAGAAATCACCCACAAGCCAAAAAAGCTACCCGGTAGGCCTTCTTTTGCCTCCCATGCTATTTTTCCCTCCCCTGCTATCCCTATTATTCTAATTCACCGCCGATCACTTTTGGAGCGCTTTGGCTTGATCAAGGGCCAAAACGGAGGGTCACACTGTCACACATCCCAGGAAAATGTTATACGCACATGGGCCATGGGTCCAAAAGATTCAAACTTTCCAAAGGTGTGTGCGTGGACACAAACAGTATATATATAATTACATATGTAGGCGCACATATATTATATTGTGTTATAAGTTATATTATATTATATCATATTACATTACATTATGTTATATTATACACACACACACACCAAACAAACAAGCTTTTGATCGAAGGTAAGCTCACTGCGCCCCACCAACCCATTTTGGCCACTGGCCTGACTGCCATCATCTGCAAGAAAGCTCATGCCATTGGGACATTGCATCACTGCCTCGCGGCACTGGCTTGTTTTCCATGATCTGCTTTGAACCAAAGAACCCCGTGGCCTAAACGAATCTGTCTAGGTTGAGATTTTTGCATGTGATGCAGGCAATGAGCCACTCCAACTCCAACCAAGTCCCACGAAAATCCTTTCACAGCAAATTGCATCAAATTCAAATTATACAAAAAAAATCAAAAAAAAGCTATACTTTCGGTACGAGTAGTGACGGATAGTGACTACCTGGGTAACCCTGGGTAGTGAAAGAAGCCACACCTACAGAGCACACGGCAGCACTGAGCCCCGCCATGCCCCGCCTCCGAGTTTTCGAAGGATGCTGCCACACAATGCGCATCCAAGCGTCCACGGCTCTGCCCTTGCCATCCCTGGCAACCATCCACGCCCTGAGCGGCAATGATATGCTGGTGGATGATGGTGGATGATGGTGGATGATGGTGGATGGCAGTGGTTGAACCAATCCGAGGCATTTGGCCTCCCTAGGCTTGAGATGGCTTGAGTTGTAATCTGCACAGTTTGCAATGTTTGAAAGCAGGGGTGCAGTGCAAAGGCAGGGGATCTGTTTCACAGACTCCAATGATCCGGTGCTAAAGAAATTGCAGCACGCTTTCTGAGGGTCAAAGGTCTCAGTGGTCAAATCTTCATTGAATCATCTGTAGTAAACATATGTAAACATATGAATATCTAATTAATTCCAATCCTAAATTGGCCTCAGTTGCAAACTTGCCCCTCAAACAGTATGTTTGCAGTCTTTTGGCGCCAACATAGTATGCAACGTAACTTCCATGACTACATTTGAACGCTCAAGTTGGAATGAGTATATATCTAAATCGTTCAAATCTTAACGCCCAGCCTGACCGGACATCTAAAGCTATTGGTATCGATTGGACTACAAAAACCAGTTTCCCTCAAAAAGCATCCAAGATCATGGAGAACAACCACTTGAACAAACCAAAGAAAGCCCTGTGTCATTCGGCCAGTCATCCGCCCACCTTGGCGCTCTTCCCTTGAAGCAGCGCACAACGATTGGGGGACGGCTCCAAGGCTGTGACCTGGATCTCTGGCAACTTGACACCGCGGCCTGAGGATCAATGGGCATCAGGCTTACCTCATCTTGAACGATAGTTAATGGATGTTAATGGATATTAATGGATGTTAATTGGTAATTACATGTAATTACTACCGGTTGTTATTATGAGTTATTTGCAGTTGCTGGTAGTTCTCAGGATTTGATACCGGAAAGTTGAAGAGGGTACTCCTCACATCATTTGCAATCCATACTTTTCCACGTCAATGGCATCAGGATGGCACTTGCGCTTGTTGACTCGTACAAAGGAATTAGCCACACATAGCCACACATAGACCGATTGAGACCGGTTATGACTGGTTAATTGTTCTGCAATGTTCTGAAGGCAAAAACGTGTTTATCACCAGGCCTCCTTCATGTTTGCGAAGTACGAAGGCAAATCTCATGTTCTTTCCGTCCCTTTGCATCCCTCTCAACGCGCAGCCCATGTCGGTCAGCCTCCGGATGGCCAATCTGAAATCGTTTCCTCCAAGGCATCCCAAATGGCTAAGGCTCCACAGCTCACAGAGCCTGCAAAAAAGCTTCGTTTCAGCATGTTTCAGCGGCAAACCAGCCAGATCGATCCAATGTTGTGCATGTTGTGCAGTCATTCTCTTGTTTCGGACATGTGCGACCAATGAAGCACACGATGCTAGGTCACCAAAAAACCTTAGATATGAATGGCTGGTTTCACCATCAAATCCCCTCTCTGCATTAGAACTTAGAATCACATCCAATCCAAGAAAAAAACCCAAACAATGTCACCTCATGTGAGTAGAAACTCGCGCCGGATTGGTTTCGTCATGTTTTGTCAAAATCACGCATCCAAATAGCGGTTTCTCAAAACTGGCACCCCAGTCTTCAAAGAATTGATCCTTTTCTATCCTTTTCTTGGATTTCTTTTGAAATACTTTGAACAAACTCATCTGGCTAGTGACCCGGCGAGCTGGTCAGGATTCTCAGTATCTCAGGATGGCCTGCATAAGCTCCAACATCCATGACTTCAAACTTGCTTCGCTTGCTTCGCTTCGATTTCCCGACGGCCAAAAAGATTGCAGGAAGCACCTGGACCAACATGGTCCAACACATGGCCAAACGGTTACCACAAACAACAACGAACTGCATATGTTGACAGGGAGGATGAGACTAGGACATTTATTCTTGCGCAACTTGTATAATTTGTATATATATAATTATATATATACATATACACGCTTTCAAACCTTACTCAGTGCACTGTATAGATTCAGTACTTAGTACGATAGCTGTCGAATTGAATTCATTGATGTTTTGCTGTCATACTGGCAGCCTGTAACATTGATTGTTGCGTGCACCTGAATCCCTCCCTGAATCACACCAGCTGTCTATTTAGCCCACGGTCCAGGGTTGGAACCAGAGTTTCGTTAAGGGCAAGGGAGTCCATCACCGTATCTACAAACAAAACTAGTTGCGCCGGAACGTTGAGTGTCTGGATGTGTCTGGGATATCATATCAGTTGGATTCAATCGCCTGAATGTTTGAATGGTAAGCATAAAACGCGAGAAACCACAACTATAATAGCCACATTACATGCGGACTCCGGCGTTATTTGAAATTACAAAAAATGGAACGGACTTGATCCGATGGTTATGGCTGAAGAGTTGGCAAGCACAATCAAGCACATGTATCTCTCACCCCACATATCTCAACCTCCAAACATGTAAATTCGATTCCCAATTGCAAACTATGCAAACTCTTAGCCTTGTCCCCAAGTTCCGTGCACACCCAAAATCAAGTCAGGCCAGGGCACGTATTCAATGTCCAAGAAAACGGGATCAGTGATCTCCTCAGTGGGACAAATCATTTCCGTTGCCACAAAGACATTTCAAGTGCCAAACGTCCCTGTGGCGGTGGCAAACAAAATCATTGCTATTTTGTCTTTGTTCAGCTACTGCAAAGAACAAATGAATAGAATGTTTAAAAAAAACAGTGTAAAACTCAAACAGTAAGATTTGTTTTTGTCGGCCGGCATCAACTTCGCTGTTGGGAAACTGTTGCGAAGCCACCTTTCATTCACTAAGTGCAATTCTAGGATTCCTTGGTTTAAGATGTTGCCGTATAAGAACACACGAGCCTCGTTGTATATTATATACTACTGTATTATATAATGTTATACTGTATAATATTTGTGCCCATGTCAGGTGTCTTAATCAAAATGGAACGATCACATTGGAACTGTAAAAACTTGCTGAGACACATCCCATGGTTTGTGCAAACACATTTCCAGTCAAGTCACTCCTGTCAAGTACAAGGCCACTGAATGTTCAAAGAAAGCCCGCATTTCTTCAATGCCTCCGGTGCTGGCAGCTGAATTCAGAACAAGACTATAAAATACATAATATATAATAATACAATATAATACATAATATAATAATACATAATAAACATTTAATAATACTATATAATACTGGGGGGAATTGAAAAAGACAACTTCACCCAGTGTGGGGTTCAAATCACCAAGGATGTGGAAGGAGGTTGGTTGTTGTCCCAGCGTAGGTACATGGAAAGGTCAAAGAAATTCTGGTCAACCAAGAGCGTAAGAAGAATAGGAAGGAACAAACCACCCCTTGGGAGAAAACTCAACTTCGCGGTCTCCTTGGAGCTTTGTCTTGGCATTGTAGTCAGGTTGGGTATTGTCATTCGGCGTATGTCTCACTGTCGCTTTCGGAAGCCCCTGAATCTACAGTCGAACACCTTCTCCAAGCGAATTCTCTTCTCCATAAAATCAGATGTACGTCTAGGGAACCCATGAAGATTTTTCCTCTCCCTCTTGATGATGTCGTTTTTTTTTTCGTGGGTGGATGCGTCCAATGAAAACCGACCTTAGCCTTGCGGAAAGGCGAAGTGGCTAGGATTTCCCCAATTTTCTCGCAGAGCTCAAAGGGCACCAGGGTCAGCGGAAGCAAAAGCCGCGGTTGACGCGCAAGACAGCTTGTGGTTTTTGAGGCACACAAGGGGAGAGATGAATGGGGGTGAAGTGGATTTAAGGGACACCAATAATTTGGTGTGTAAGACCCCCGGAACTTTGGTGATTGACAATAAAAGTCTTTATGCCAAACTTCAAAGACCTTATCATGGTCAATCTAAGAAAATTGATATTGAACTTTTGGCCCTGAAGGAGGCCGATCACCAGAATAGTTTGGATTTGCGATGGGTGGGCGCCCAGGCCCAACTTGCTAACAGTTTGACCAAAAGAGGGGAAGATCACCAAGTGAACCGTTTTGTGGCTTGCCACCAGACTTGGAGAACTGTGAAGCTCCCCTTTTTGTGCGTTTTCCGGGGTACTTTGAGTATAGGTGCAACTGAAGAGTTGCGGGAAGTGGGGGCCATGCAATTTCCATTGAGAGCTGCATACGTGAAAAGCATGTAACCGCAGCTCACCTAGGCCCTCTAGGTATCTTCCCCATTTAGCATAACCCATACATCCAAAGCGCATCGCTTGGAGTGACAAAAGGCAGCGGCTTTTCAGGGAACACCGGCACCTGTTGTAGGGGATTCATGACATGGTCAGCGTTGCTTTAGTGGCATTGTGGTGAGTGCGGCTTATAAGGCTTTGATATTTACCTCCGTATTCATACTCGCGTGGAACTAAGTAGATGCTGTGCAGTGCTACACATTTGGAAACCCATTTGTGAAATCAAGACGGTGCAAAGCGCTGTGGAAGCGATTTGCACCGCACTTGCTTGCACAATGTCATGCAATTTATCCATATACACTTGCTAAATGTTTGAACGTTGGTGTGCTATCTATGGGCTATCTAATGCTGCCAGTGAGTTCGATGCATTTTGATGCAAGTAGCATTTTGATGGCGGAAGCAAGAATCCTAAACTTAGGCGTTTTCAAAAAAACCTAGAAGTCTCTCATGCTCAGGTCTCAGCAAATGGCGTTGTCAAGTTTCCGGCATCTTTGAAACACTTCCTGAGTCGATTCTAGTACGCGGAAACATTCAGACCACCCCAAAACTGTACAGTGGGTTTTCCTTTGTGGCTCCATCCAACAAATTGTCAAAAAGATTCAAAAAGATTCAAAAAGAACATCTTCGAATCGAATCTAATTTCCGGTGTCACTAAATATGTACTGCTGGCCACGTTAACATTATTTTCATTTGTTTTCAACCTATCCCCGAGATTCCCAGAAGGCCTGGTGTAGTGACGTCATCTGCCACACCGACGGATGGCAACTGATCCAGCGTACTACGCTGCTGGCGCAGCAACTGCTCGCAGGGCCACTGTTGTCGACCACCTGGTTTTGCATCAGAGAACGTCGGTTGAGCGCTGCAAACTCCCTGGAAAGAGTGGTCACTTGGTGCCAGAGACATTCTGTAGATACACTTGCATCTCATCTGGAATCATCTGGATTCGACATGCACCATCATGTAACACTTCTATCAAATGACAACAATGCTGCACGGATACTTAATCCCAGACCTTCCCGTCGAAGTTTAACTTAGCATTTAAACTTAAACAAATGCTTAAATTAAACTTGGCATTTCCGTTACTTACTAAGTCTACCCATGAAGTACTAACTTTATACAACCATGGTCTTGTTTTTTTGCAGGCAACTGTGTGTCCTGGGCTGTGGATTGGTTGCTTTGGGTTAAAGTACTTTGCAGGATCGGTCAAAGCTTTGGAATCAAAAAACGGCAACAGGAAAACATAGCTCCGGCGGGGCACCGGAATTGAGAGAGTACGCCGGAACCACGGCATAATGTGTGATCTGGTAACTACAACAAGAAAATGCGGAACCATGCTTCGTCAAAGGAGAACCACGACTAGGATTAGGCAATAGCTGCGACAACACCACTTCAACAACACCCGCAAACCCTGCTGGCCTATTCCTCGACCCGTTCCTATTTGGCAAGAATCTTACACCACTGGCAGTAATGCAAAGTTATTCTATTTGCAAACAGGTGGGATACACAGTCTGGCAGTCTGGCAGGGTTAGCATGCACTCGGGAAGGGTCAGCATACACTCCGGGAGGGTTAGTGTACATTCAGGCAGGGTTAGCATACACTCGGGAAGGGTTAGCATACACTCCGGGAGGGTAAGCATACTTTCAGGCAGGGTTAGCATACACTCGGGAAGGGTTAGCATACACTCCGGGAGGGTTAGTATACATTCAGGCATAGCATACACTCGGGAAGGGTTAGCATACACTCCGGGAGGGTAAGCATACATTCAGGCAGGGTTAGCATACACTCGGGAAGGGTTAGCATACACTCCGGGAGGGTAAGCATACATTCAGGCAGGGTTAGCATACACTCTCGGGAAGGGTTAGCATACACTCCGGGAGGGTTAGTATACATTCAGGCAGCACAGTATCCATGCACCCAATGAATAAGAAAAGAGCTGCGTGCTGAAACAAGCCGAAACAGTCATGAACCACGTGGAATTTGCCAAAAAACACAAGAAATAGGATATGTTTGGCACTTTTACTATCTATGACACTTGCATGCTACTGTCGCAGACATATCCCTGTGCTTGTCATGGTTCTACATATTCTGTCAATGTTCTCAATATCTTGTCAAGGTTCCTGAAATCATTCCATGGTTATACCGAACCTTCCCGGAATTGACCTAGTTCTTCACGGGTAAACTTGGAAACTTATTACTTCACGGGTATTTCACGCAACTTCACGAGTACTTCACGCGCACATGTTTTGGGGCACCATCTAGGATCCGTTTATATTCAGGGATTTTATCAAAATCATTCAAAAAATATGTCAGCTCTTCCACCCAATACACTGCTGCGCATGAGTCGTCCAGCAGTATATTCCCGGCAAAACAGGTGATGCCAAGAGGGGGGCCCACCATTAAACTTAGTATTTCCGTATGTCGAAGCTAAACTTGCCCTTTGAAGGCCTGGGTCATGATACATACACGATCACATATGCAAGTATTGCAGATTCACGAAGATCTATTCTGGCTCTCCTGACTTGCTTACAACATCTTACACCGTCTTACTGCGAGCTTCCAATAATCTGCACCCATCGCCCAGCTTTTAAGTGCCAAGCCACACAGGTCGCATCGAGCTGAGTCGCTGGGCCGTTGTGCTTGGCAGCACAGCGCGAAGGAGGCGAAGTCTTGGTCGCCCTGCACGGACTGCTGCGACAGCATTCCACCAGGGGAGAGATGGGAATCGATGAGACATTGACATCCATCTGGTTAAAAAAATATTCAGAAACCAAAACATATTCTTCGGATTTCTTCGGAAATCAAAAGTATTCTTTGGAAACCAAGGATTATTCGGAAACCAAATTCAAAAGGACTTCTTCGGAAACCAAGGATTCTTCGGAAACCAAAACGTCTACATAGCAAACCAAAACATGCAGGTGGCGGGTTTTTGATCTCTTGTCAAGTTTATGAATTATACATTTTGGATATTAAAGCCCTGGCATTGACCTTTGCCCAGTTGCAGCCAATCCAACCCAGGAGGGACCTGAAATTCTTTCGCGGACAGGTTTCTCAAGGCATTGCTGTCCTGTCGGCGGCGTGTGTTCTTGTGTGCCCGCTCAAGGGATTAGAGATGCATAAGATATAGTGTGAAATTCAAGGCAGGTCGACTTCCATCGGCTTCCCCACATTTTTGAAGGCACCCAGGCACCGCAAGTTCTATCCCCTGTCACGCATCAAAAGCCATCTTAAGCCTTCCCATATCTTCCCATACAGTATCTTCCCATGAAATGATCCAAGCAAGGCCATCAGTTGTGCCTCTCGGAGACGTGCATTTGTAACTGCAAGGACCGCAGCCAATGCGATCTGCCATAGCATGCCGCCCCGCCGGCAAGTCCAACTTCTGAATTACATCAATATTAAAGAATATTACAGATTTGGGCAGTTGGATACTGCAGAGTCGCGCCATTAGGATAGCACGTGATAACTATACACCACTATACACCACGTGAAACTAAGTTCGCAAATGTGGATTGCCTTCTACCATGTATGATATGTATGTCATCGGATCCATCGGAAGGTGCGGGCCGGAGGCGGGTTGGGCTGGTTCTAGCACATTTTGGGGGACTTATCAAGCATAATTCCAAACATCTTCAACGGAAAGGCGTCTTTGGATTTCAAGATATTTCAAGTTACACCACCTTCTGGAGCACCCCTACCATTTGGACATTTGGAAGCATCCAATGCCAACTGCGCGTGAATCAAGGTATCAGTGTACTCAATACTTTCATCGTCGTTCATCCCTTTTTGCATGGCTGATCAGAAATCAATCCAAATCACACATCCGGAGTGTCTTTGTTTTGAAGGACCCAATAGTCACTGTTACGTCCTCTGCAGGCGCCTTTATCATCTTCATTGCAATTCAATGAATAATTTCATGTCAGGGTTGAGAAAAGAAGCTTCAGCCAATAGTCGCCGACGGTATAGAATTCGGAAACACACTTTGACATGAGATTTCGAGGCCTACAGACCCACTTGATCTCTTTCGAACGCACCAACTATTTGGCTCTTGGATGATGATTCTCCAACTTGGAACCACTGGTCTTCAAAGCGAGACGTCTGCGATTTCCGTATTTTCTCTGAAGCATTCGTCATTTGCCAAGATGCCTGATGTGTTGGTTGCCAACCATCAGCTCAACTATGAACACACTTGAACCAGATCGTACGGGTGGATAATATACAGTAATTGGTGATATTACGTATTCAAACAACTTATAGTTCAGGTGCAACACGGGTTCTGTCTGCCTGAGTGCCTGTTTGGATGTCACGTAAACAAAATCTGTGTGGATTGCCAAAACCTGTGGCCCCATGTGGCCCAAACCAGGTGTGGAAGGGATGCCTTGAGACCAGAAGCATCCAACAGCAATAGGTCAATCATGGTGAATCACATGGCATTTTCAGCTCTAAATAAGTGCAGCATTGCCATCATTTCTTTTCAAGTGTTCAACATTCTTCAACCCAGCCTGGACATTCAGTGTGAGTTACAGCTATAGCAGTTATGGCATGCCATGGCCATGTCTCATTACGTTCCACCTTTTGTAGATCCAGTATAATCCGGTCCATGTTGCACACGTAGCTTCCTCGAGATCTCACGCATTTGAGCGAGGCATCCGAGATACTCGGCGGTGCGCAGATTCGCTTGCACCGTCCATTTCCCGCTTGCATTGTGTCTGCACCTATCGATATGCTGGTCTTGATTGGTCTTGATTACAAACAGCTGTTCAGTGAGACGCTATTTTCAGCTGAACAAAAAGGCCCATCATAGAGCGTCTCTACATTCCCAGTCATGAAGCGCTGGTCGGTCCACTAGAAAATCAAAAGGTTTATTGACAAAATAGTTTATAATGTTTATACTCAATAGAGCTATAGTCTCTTATACATTCCGTGGCTTTTGGCGGAATACATAATATCTGGTGGAATGCTGGCAACACACATTAATATTAAAAAAACCATGCTTTGTACATGGCTGGTGCGCCTGCAGTTTTCCTCAATCCCCAGGCGCATTCCCTTCGTGCCACGTGCCCTCCTTCAGCACAGTGCAGTCTTCGGCATACATGACCTCTTGCAGTGCTCGAACACGAGGAGACTGTGGGAGAACTGTGTCTGAAACACAATTCCAAAGAGACAATAGAAAGCGTAGGAACGGACAAAACTTGAGAAAAAACCATTGATTATGCCATTGAATTGATGTCGCGAGATGTTGCCCCGAGTGCGCATCTTCAGAAGAAGATAGAAGAAACAACATTTTTGATTTGCTAGATAAGACTTCAAACATTTTAAATAATTACATAATTCACCTTCAGACTTGTGGAGGCATCTGCTTCGTTATCCTTGAATTTCGTAATCTGTATCGTGCATCTATATCTGTTGACTTTCGGAATATTCAACAACCACCACAAGCTCTCCAGTCTATGGATGCCAAAATCCTGAGCATTCTTCATTATTCTTTTGCATAATATATACTATATATATATATCCGCCGACCCGGCAGAAGCAGGGGGGGGGGGAGCGCGCCAGGGAATAAAATTCAACCCTTTAGGCAGCAGCAGCATGAGGGCGCAGCAGGCAGCAGCAGGCAGCAGGCAGCAGGAGGGAGCAGCAGGCAGCAGCAGGCAGCAGGCAGCCGCAGCCAGCAGCAGGCAGCAGCAGGCAGCAGCAGGCAGCAGCAGACACCAGCAGACACCAGCAGAGGGAGCAGCAGGCAGCAGCAGACACCAGAAGAGGGAGCAGCAGGCAGCAGCAGGCAGCAGCAGGCAGCAGGCAGCAGCAGGCAGCAGCAGGCAGCGGCAGGCAGCGGCAAAGTTCCAATTTTATAGTAGGGTTTCAGAAGTGGCGTTAGGCCCTTTTTTGGGGTTCAATTGGGGCTCCTTTGCTACGTTTTGGGCACGAAATCCGCCGACCCCGGCCGACGCAAGGGGGAGCGCGTAAGGGAAGAAGATGGAAATTAGGTGGTGTTTTGCTGTTTCGGAAGCGTTTCGAAACAGTAGGCCCAGCCATAATATTGTTTAGGCGATTCTGGGGGATTCGGCCGAAACAGCTGGCCCAGCTACCGGAGATTCTGGGGGATTCGGCTGAAACAGTTGGCCCAGCTAGGATTCTCGAAGTAGGATCTAAACTAGGATCTAGATCTAGGATTCTCTAGGATTTCAGAAGGGACGTTAGGCAGGTTTCTGTAATATTGTTTAGGCGATTCTAGGGATTCGGCCGAAACAGCTGGCCTAGCTACCGGAGATTCTGAGGGATTCGGCTGAAACGGCTGGCCCAGCTAGGATTCTCGAACTAGGATCTAAACTAGGATCTGGATCTAGATCTAGGATCTGGATCTAGATCTAGGATTCTCTAGGATTTCAGAAGGGACGTTAGGTAGTTTTCTGCCGCGATTTTTCGTTATTTTCGGCACGAAATTAGGTGGTGTTTTGCTGTTTCGGAACCGCTTCGAAACAGCAGGCCTAGCTGTAATATTGTTTAGGAGATTCTGGGGGATTCGGCCGAAGCAGCTGGCCTAGCAAGGATTCCCGAAGCCGCGATTTTTCGCTATTTTCGGCACGAAATTAGGTGGTGTTTTGCTGTTTCGGAACCGCTTCGAAACAGCAGGCCTAGCTGTAATATTGTTTAGGAGATTCTGGGGGATTCGGCCGAAGCAGCTGGCCTAGCAAGGATTCCCGAACTAGGATCTAGATCTAGATCTAGGATAGATCTAGAGATCTAGATCTAGGATTCTCTAGGATTTCAGAAGGGACGTTAGGCACTTTTTTGGCGTGGTTTTGGAACTAGCTCGTCCTTCTGAGCCATGGTGTTTTCCTGCCGGGAGCTGCTTTTATGCTTTTTTCGAAGTTGTTTTCGGAAAAAGGTTGTTTTTCTAGGATTTCAGAAGGGACGTTAGGCACTTTTTTTGCGTGGTTTTGGAACTAGTTCATCCTTCAGAGCCATGGTGTTTTCCTGCCGGGAGCTGCTTTTATGTTTTTTTCGAAGTTGTTTTCCTGCGAGCGGGCGCAGGCAACAGAAATTCTCGAAAAATGTTGTTTTTCTAGGATTT